GACACTTACCGAACGCCCAAGGAACAGGGGAGGAGGGCAGCGGCAAGGATAACGCCGGTTTCCTCTTCTTTTTCCTTCAATACTTTTCGTGCGCAATTTGTTAGGGGCCTAACTGCGAAATCACACCAACGAAAAGTTCCTAAAGCGTTTAACCGACGCAGTTTACTACGGATGCATACATCAGCCTGATGCATGCCAAGCATCTCAATTAAGGTGCGACGCTGAAATCCTCAGACAAATCGGCGGGATTTCCTCTGTATCGCCTCATTGTATGACCTTGAGACGTTATTCAATTCTCCTCCGCGTCATTAAGAGTTCCCGTTCCACATTTCAGTAATGAACTTCTCCTGAGCGTTCGTTTTGGGTGATTAGCACGACCCCCGCAGCCCGTCTTAATTGGAAGCTGGAGTGTTTGACAAGTTTTATCAGTGAATATTCATCCTACGCTCTTGAAACTTTAATCGATTTCATGACACACTGCTAAAGAGCTTGCATACTAAAGTTCGTTAAGTTCGCCCTACTCCTCAGTCATAGTTTCGTGGTGATGAGCATAAAATGTCCTGCAAGAGTCTTGTTCCAGTAGAACCATGAGACACACATAATTTATCAGCGTGGTTGTCTTTAATTTCTTCCTTATCTATTAATCTATTGAATTAATATATTACAGTTACATATTTGCAATAAATACCATTTTTAATTCCGCGGCAAAAAGCATCCAGGTTATTTTCTTGTACGATTCAGATTGTTTTCCTCGTTATACGTGCAGAGGAACTATGGATTGATGAATTTAAAACACAAATAACTTCGCGTTTCTCATTTCACTCCATCTTCTTCAGTTCTGTCTACTACATAACACTGGGCGATTCTTCCTCACTTGTCATGCTGTCCGATGGCAGATCAATTATCCCAAAGTAACGGGACGCCCCATTCTCGTTTCGTCAAACTTGGGAAGTAATGGGCCTATAATATGGCATGTTAGTGATGGAAACACGGCTTCCCAGACATGGGGAAGACCCTGAAAAATCTCCTTTCTTCCTTTTAAATCACACCGCACCATAACGACACGTGCTTCACATTGAAGCACTCGAGTGGGTCTGGCCACCACATGGGTGGCCAAACCCACGAAACTGGGATGCCACAATCGTCTTTTGAAAGCCACAGCGAAATGAATCTTTTCCACTGGATGAAACTATGAGTGATATCTATTCGCAAATCATTCATGCTTCACAGACAGGCAATTCTTACCCTCCTAGGTCTTGTTTCTCTGCTTTTAGGAGTGTGATTCCACAAGAGTCTTATTCTGTTTTGCATCGAAGTATTTTGACTTTCTAGTCGCATTTTTGCCGACGTGCAATTTTTATCCCTCAATATCAGGGGCTTCCTTCACTCAAAGCATTTCCCCCCTTTCCTGCTCTCTTTGCGTTCTTTTTACACCAGTTGAATTCCTCGTTCTTTGACCATAACTACCTCACTACCTTCAGATAACTAGTTACTTTTCGGAGAAACATCACCTACATGAGACTATTTAAATTTCCCATAAAGTAATAGTAACAGCAAAATTAAATTAGCATTTCTTAACTTATAAAAGCTCAGGATGAAATTATTTTTGAACAGCAGCTTTAATAGAGGCCTGACGTTGTCCGGCAATGGTCTGAAATGACAGAGGACTTGCTTGAATGTTTTCTTCTTTTTCTTTTATCTGGCCCCAATCCAAAAGCGCGTCTCAAGGGGAGAAGCAGACAAGGCGATTCTCTAATTCTTCTTCAAATCCTTTCCCTTTTATTCTCTGGATCTTGGCATGCATTCGAGGGAGAACGAAAGAGAAGAAAGGGCTGGGAGTGAAATTGAAGTCCATTTCACAGAGAATCCATCAAAAACATTCCCTCTTCCCCGTGATTGCTCCCATGCGAAAAGATCTGAACGCCAGCCAGCAATGCATCCCCCCCTCCCCCCCTTCTCTCTCCCTCCCTTCCCGTCCATGGGTGAAAATGTGCCTTTATGGTATAGAATGGATGAGAAGAAGAAAGGGAGGAAGTCGACCTTTTTACTGGGAAGCGATCGTCAGGACACGGAACGATGCCCTTTCGATCTCTGATACAATCTCCGATCCTCTTCCTTCCCTCCAGAGATCCATTCTATGGTGAAAATTCGCGAGAGAATCCAAAATCTATGGAAACCAACGGCTGGGGATTTGGAAGGAAGCGTCAGCTGCAGGCATTTGATCCGCATCCGTTGAAATTAATACTCCTCCATCGCTCGATCGATGCTTCACGCCATGGAATTATATTAATGCCCTTGGTCTTTCCCACCCACTCGTAAACACGAAATCGGTCCTTCCCTTTCGTGTTTTTAATTTCCGATCCTCTCATCCATCATGCTGTATTTCTTCCCCCGCTTTCGACGGTATCACGAGGGGATATATGGAAGCCGGATGAAAAGGGTTTCCTGGGGGTCACTCGACAATACAGTCCGGATTCCATCGGATCTATTGGAGTGCCCCTCATTTAAATCTTCATCCATCACCCGGTGACAGGGATTAAGGGATCAGATCATTCCATGATATCATCCTTCCTCTGTTTTCATGACTCAGAGAACGAGAGAGAGAGATAGAGAGAGAGACAAGACATGCACCATGGACGGTATATTGGAAAAGGGAGATAGACCTAGAGAGACCGGAAATTGGAATAGCGATGATCTCCGAGAATCATATCCTCCCTCAAGCTTCAATTTAATCCCTCGTTCCATTTCCATAACGACTTTATGATACCCAGCTCGTCGAACCGGGTTCCGGAGTCCACGTGCCATGGATGATCCCAGACTGACAGGCAACTCAAACGACGTCGTCCGCGTGACTGCTTCTCCCAGAGTTATAAAGGGTATCGAATATAAGGACAAAAAAATGCTTCCTAAGGGTGGGAATGAGGGAGAGAGGGAACAAGCAAGTGCACTTCTTCCTCGAATCTCTCATGAATCATGGATCTGAGGAGGGAAATCGACACAGAGAAAGAGAATTCTTTTTCTTCATCAAGTGTTGATATGCATTGAGTTGAGGATGGAGATGCATAGATGCAGATCCCCCAATATCAGTCTCATTTGAATGGATGGGCAAAAAAGATATGACCGGATATTCCTCGATCAATGTCCCTGTCCACTCCTTCCCTTCCAGTCTCATCTCATTTCTTGTGAGGGGAGAGGATTTTTTTTATCTTGTTTTTTTTTTACATCTCTTTTCTTCCCTTGAGAAATGTCCGCCCAGCCAGTCCATCGTATACATATACTCACTTCCCTCATGAATAGTTGAAAGAGAAGTCTTCCTGTCATGCCATTTCATGCTCGTGTCTCTCTCTCTCTGTGACTGGGGAAGGGGATCACTCCAGCAAAATTGGCGGAATTGTTTCTGCTCGTCTGAACTCCATTGCTCGATTCTCAGAACCCTTTTCTGGGTCGGGATTTTCCCTCGGTTAATTTTCAGCTCAGGCAAGGATCCCATTTATCCGTGTCACCCGTGGTCGGGTTGTGAAAATGACACGGGATTAATGGGAAAAAAGAGGGGAGGCGAAAATTATTGATGGTTTAGCACCATGGTCCCCGCTTTCAAATATCTCTCCGAGACGCATTTCCTGCCTTCCTTCCGTTTTGGCTTTCTCTCAATTTCCCACCCAACTCAAGCACACATGGCAATCGATTAGGTTCATGAATTCAGTCATGCTTGCAGAGTCATTCAATTGTCTGGAAACTTTTTCGGTCCCTTCTTTCAGTAACGAATGCAAGCAGGAGCCCTTGAGAAAATTTAAATGAATTAGCGAAGCACTCGCCAACATCCATGTGAGAAGTCTTTTGTAGCGTGATTTCTATTTTATAATTTTTTATTGGCATTCTCGAAGACGATTGATCAGTTTTAAAACATGTGAGGAAGGCGTCTAAGACATGGAGGGTATGTTCCAGCCGTTCTCCCAGGAACGTGATCGCGGCGCAAAGATCCGCCAATCAGGAACAAATTTGATAGTCACGTTCGATGCAACGTCGTTGGATTCGTTTGAGTCAGGCAAATGATTCACTCTGTGCTGTGCTGAAGCTGGCGCCTAATCTCATCACACTCGAAAATGGGCCTGCCTGCCACCCCGACGAGCATGATAGCATGAACCTTTTTTGCAGTAAATACAGGAATTCAAGCTTTTTCCGGAATCGAAGGGTGAGCTTCACGAATTTCAAGACAACCTCAAGTAGACCACTGTACTGTGATAGCGCGTATCTCTCAATTGACACGACAAACAATGGGGTGTCTCCCTGTCTGTTGCATAAATTCAGCTGAAGGCCTAGAAATTTCTCATTCAAGTCAATTGTAGCAGCTAAAAACAAGTAATGCATCAAATTTTGATACCTATAGATATGCAGATTTACTAAACTGCACCGTAGCTGTGTATGAATGGTCCGAAGATACCCTCAGATTGGAAGACGTTTATACGTCATCCGCCTTGAGCTTTGGGAGGTTGCTTGCCTCCATTTCGCATCTTAAATGCATAGTCAAATTGCCATTCGAAAATGTAGAACTTGATCGCCAAGTAATCTGTTCGCATCTCCGTCCTCTTCAAAAATGGGTTAAGTAACGGGTAAGGGACAACCAAAGCTCTCTAATAACCGATTGCAAGATGAAGAATGCATATAAAGCCCGACGGGACGAAAGAAAGAACGTCATGGGGAAAGTACAGAGAAGCCAAAAAAAGTTTTGGCAGACGCGAGATCATCCTATGGATGGGCATGATCAGGCGAGGTGTGATGATTCGGATGATTCGTGCATGGGATGCGTGACATCAGCTGCCTCGTTAGAGTTGCCGGGAATCCATGAAGATGAGATAAGACAGAAATGAAGGCAATTCTTGTATTTGATCAAGACTGTATGATCAAGCTTTGCGAATGCGATCCACATCGATTCCCCTCCACCATGAATCCTTTAGAATCCCTCATCGAAAATCGTTCCAGACACAATGAAAAACCGCCGTCGATGGATCATAAGTAGAAAACTTCGTTATTATTCCATGCAACCTTGTGCAGAAGACACTGTCCAATGGAAGGGGGGGGGGGGGGATTGAGGTTGAGAATGAGGTAAAGTCGAGAGATTGAATGAATGAAGGGCAGGAATGAAAACCCTGGCTTGAACTCGTTCCAGGTCAGCCGGGGAAGGCAAAAACTCCAATATATATAGAGAGAGAATCACAAATCAATAAAAAAAAGGAATACAATTTTTTTTTCAAGACAATCGTCATTAGCACTTTCTCTAGATAATATTTAATTGTAAGATATTATCACAGATATTCTTGACTTTAGCATGACCGTCTGGGGCAGCAGGGTCATCGTGATCGTGGGGGTCATCATCACAGAACGGAGATCGGTCATTAACATCATCCTTCATCTCTGTCATACTCTTTCTTCTGTCTCGCGAGTCTGAGTCACATCACAGGAGAGACTGATTCACTCTCGCCGTCCACGTCGCCGTTGAAATTGGACATTGAAGGAGTCATCAGCTAACTGAGGGTACTGAACGGGGCCCCATCTGTACCCGAAGTCGTAGTCGGAGGCGAATCCGAGACGTAGGATCTCCTGGACGTCCTCGTCCGTCCATCCGGGCCCAGGAGAGCCCCAGCCGGCCGGGATTCCAAGGCTCAAGAGCCGCTTCTCTTCCTCCCAGCTCGACTTTGACAGGTGGCGCTTGTGACCCTTGAGGATCTTGTGCCGAAAGTGATCTGGGTCCTCCCCGTATCGGATTCTAAACACCACTCCCCGAGATTTCGCGCTCAGTTCACGGATCCCCTCCGCGGATCCAGAGTCACGGGGATTCGTGACGCTCGCGTTCACCGTCACTGAACTCAGTCGTCTCAACTGCTTCCGGTCTTCTTCTATGTCTCCCGGGTCGCGTTTCACGAAATAAAACACCTCTGCCCCTTCTTCCACGAAATGCACGTCCAAGAAATGACTTCGATTGAGCAGCGACGTGAAGACGTCTCGATAGATCTCGTTCGCTCCTCCCACGCTCCTCACTATGCACCGTGATCCTTCTCGTGATAACGTGATCCCTTCACCCAAGGGTGAAGGTGAGCGACTCACCCTCAACTCCCATTCGGAGACGGGAGAAGGGTTCGAAGAAGGAGAGATAACGGAGCGGGGAAAGGCTGGCAAGTCTTCAGGCTTCAACAAGTTTTCTTGGAATTTTGCTTGAAGTCCCCAAGTGATTCCAACGGTGGGGAGGCGAAGGAAATTCAAAGCTGGGAATGTATGCGGGGGTAGATGGCTGATTAGGATTCGGGAAGGATCTGGGGTTGGGGGGGAGAGGGAAAGTTGGGGGATGATTCGGGGGACATCGTAGCCCAGTCGAGTCATCCAAGACAAATGATCTGCAATGACGGAAAACAAAAGAGGAGAGGGAAAAAGATCACATACGACTGTGTCTCGGGCACAGAGCCAACGACAACAAGTGATAGCATCATCATCAGCCTTCTTATCCCTCCTCATTCCTTTCTCATCAGACCCAGCCCACCCCTTCGATATCATACATGGGTTCCTCCTCGATTCCCCCCATCCTAGCAACCATGGCATCCCTACTCTCATGTGTACTTTTCGCGAAGAGATGAAAGACATAAAAAAAGGGTAAATCCACTCACCATGAGGTAAATCAGTGTCTCTTCCATAGTTGACGGGATCGTTGCCGTTGAATCGATAGAGGTGAAGGAACCTGGGATGGGGGATCCGTCGAGGGATATCGCGGAAATTGGGGGTCATCCATTGCCCCACGACAGGATCATAGACTCGTCCCTGACTCATGTGAACGGACTCTGTCAGGGTTTCCAGGATTCCACCGCAGAAATCCACTGGGATGTAGAGATGGGGATTGGAATCCCACATGATTTTCCCGTAGGGACCCCGGATGATTTCCCTCACCACTTCCCCACGGGAATTCCACATCTTCACGGGAGTGCCACACGCATCTGTTGCCACATACAGTCTCTTCACTCCATCCTCCATCATGATGACTTTGCCTTCCGGATCGTAGGTCAACGAGGTCACTCGATTCTCTCGGGTCGAGAATACGTGCGTGACTCGATTCCGACGACTGGGACTCGGATCGGCGTAAAAAAACTGCGTCACGTTCCCGTAACTATCTTTCCTCATCACGAGTCTCAGGAAGTGATCATATTCGTAGTGCACGTGGAATCGCCCCTGTTTGAGTGCCCGGACGAGGCAACCCCGTCCGTCGTAGACGAACCCGTCCCCGGCCGCATTCTCCACCACGAATCCCCTGGAATCGTATTTGTATCGTCCCTGTCCGAAGGCAACTAGTCTCCCTTGCTCGTTCTTCATTTCCACGTCCGTGTCTCGAAGAGATAGAGACACCAGGTTCCCGTCCGAATCGTACGAGAAACTCCACGGTTCCTGGGCATCCGCCTTGATCACCTGGCCGTCCGCGTCGTACGCAAACGTCCTCGTCATACTCGTCCTCGTCATGCCCGTCGTCTCTTCCCGGATCTCCGAGATCCTCTCCATCACGTCGTAACTGGTGTCTCTGCGATAGACCGTCTGTCCGTGGACAGAGATTCGGAAGCCGATCTCTCGGGAATACGTGTCGTATGTCCTGATGAAAGTCGTTTCGCCGTCCGTGATCGTCGTCTCGTTCCATTCTCCTCGGATCACGGTGAAATCCCCGATCCGCGATTCTCCGCCCGTCACGCTCGAGTATTGGTAATGGAAGGCCGGGATTCGATTCCCTCCGATCCGACCACTGATGGAAGTGATGCGGAAGTTCTCGTCGTAATCGTAGAAGAATTTTGCATCGGCCAGTCCACTTCGGGCATCGTAATCCAATTTCTCCTCCCGTATCAAGGGTCCTTCCAAGCGTCGCATGTACTGGCATTGAAAAAATCGCTCTTCCGCCTGGATCTTTCTCACCACGGCCCCATGATAAAGGAAAGAGGTCTTCCCACCCCCATGAACCACTTCCGATAATTCAGATCCCTCTCCATAGACATAAAGGACCTTCCCACCCGAATCACCAGGAAGGGAAACCTGAAGGAGTTTCCCGGAGTCGTCGAGGTAGATGAGGTACGGGGCTTTGTATCCCGGGGGAGTGTATCTGTATTTGTGAAATTCGAACAGGGACTCCAAGAGGAATTCGTGTTTCAGACCCTGAGGGGTTGTAATGGATTCAAGTCCTCCGCTTGAATCGTACTTGTACGTGTAAGCACGGCCGCTTGCTAGCGTCAACGTCACTGGCTATAATGCATAGGAAAATAAAGAAAATAAAGAATATGCAACATCGTTCAACTGCAAACTTATTAGAAATTTAAGACAATTCGCATAATCTCTTTTGTTCCTAGTAAATGAAAAGTTTTTGATGTAAGGAAATTTATATGCAATTATTTATTTATTTATTTATTTTTTTCCTGTGACAAAATTATTATATTTTATGCATTTTAGAAGCTACACAGATACAAGAGAAGAAAATTATTGAAAATGTATTCTTACTACGTTAAATTCTTCTTGGAATAAAATGAGTACCATCTTTAAGTAGTAACAATGATAAGGGAATATTCGAAATGAGCCCCACCTCTTTGCCGGTAGGTTCGTAGTCAAAGTGCTTGGCGTTGCCATCTGGACCGACTACCTCCCTCACGCGGCCTCCCTGATCCCGATTGAATCTTCGACCCCGAGTTCCCCATTGCCACCCGGTGAATCTCCCCAAGGAGTCGTGGTAGAAGAGCAAGGGAACCCGAGAAGTCCCCCTACCTCTGTCACTGACGGGGATCCCCCTGGGAATCCACTCCATGGCCCGACCAGAGGCATTCAGTTGAGCTCCCCCGATCGGGACACCCGAAGCGTCCCATATCACTTCCACCGAATTCTTCAGGTCGTATGACAACGTGAGGACCTTGGTTCCGTTCACCTGGAAGAGAGGCATGCAGATCCTCAATCGGGTTTATGGTGTTAGAAGGGGCCTTGGTGGAGCGATTCGGCGCATACCTTGAGTTCCCTATCGACTGAGAGTATGGCTTGATCGGGGGTGAGCTGAACGTGCCATTCCATAGTCATGGGATTGGAGATCCCACCGAATCGAGTCAACTCACTCGTCGGACTCGAGAAGACTTGGGAATCCAAGGGAAAGAGAGCCCGAAGTACGGGATTTCCCTTCTCGTCACCGTACAACAGCTCCATGTCGGGAGACACCAAAGCGTTCCCACCTTCTCCCAACATCGTTATCACCCCACTCCTTGGCCCTTTTTTTTTAAAGAGAGGATCAAGAGGATGAAGATCTGCATAATGGCCAGGGAAGACGTGATCTGGGCGTAAAGAAATCCTCCCTGAGTCCCATCTGCTTTGTAACATCTGTTCCTCCCATCCTAATAGGCAAGGCGTGGCCCGCATCTCTTTCCTTACGGTATTTTCCTCCATTTTCCGGGGACGCATTAAAGAGTACCGTGTATGATGAGATGAAGAGAGAACAGAAGGAAAAGGAGAACGGAAATAATATATAGGTCGAGGGGCTGGTGCCTAGGCCCGGCTGTTAATTTAATCGAGTTCATTTCACATCGATCCCACGCACCCCGAGTCCATTCCATCTAATGACATGGATAAGGAATTCCATCTCTCAAATAACTCCCCTCAAACGAACGCAGTGGAAAGAAGTCCAGGGGAGGGAGTTTTTTGTCCCCTTCCTCTGGAAAGGGATGGGATGAAAAAAAAAAAGGATCGATAGGATCCCGTGCTGCCTATTTCCTGAATTCTCCCTACATTGTAACTGAGTTTCGGCTCCCTCTGGAATGGATTCCCATGTGGAGGTTTCACATGCGTCTACACATTACACATGCTAACTGCATCTACGAACACAAGCTTATGTATAGTGCACTGCTTCTCCACTGAATTCTCTCGTCAGTGAGAGCCACATGGGAATATTCCCTCGCGCAAAAACGAATCATCCTGAAACTCACCAGCAGTATATTCTAGGGCGGAATCCCCGTTGAGGAGAAAGGTAGTAGTATGGTGGAGACCACTGATGGAGGCAGTGACCCTGGGTGGATCCTCGAGGTCCAGCCTGGAATGGGACGCGAAGGTGGTCCTTCGCCCGGTGGATGACGTCACGGCCGCCACCCGCCCGGTCTCGTCGTAGTCATAGATGAAGAGGGGGGTTCCCCCTGGAGATTCCATCCGGCTTACCAGGAGCCCCGATTCTCCTTCTCCGTAGCGGAACTCCAGTTCCCGATTCGGTGACAGGAGGAGTTTCTCCATGAGTCCCAACCGGGAGACTCCAACGTTGTATTTGCGTCCGTCGGTGAGCTCGATTGTGTTCACCTCGAGTCGGTAATCCCGGAAGAAAGAGACCTTGTTTCCCGACGCGTCCGTGACCTGGATCAACTTCCCGAAGCTTGATTTCACATTGTATTGGAAGGAATAGAGCTCTTTCCCCGTCACGAGGTCCTTGGTCGCGATATGATGTCCGTTCTTATCGAAGATGTAGATCTCCCTCGACGGGAGATAGGGGATCCAGAAATTTCCGGAATTATCCGCCTTAGGCATGTGGGTCTCTAAGAGGAATACGTGGAAGGCAGCGGAATCAGCAACCCAAAGCCTTCCATCGGGAGAAACGACGAGATCTGACACCCCAGTCAACGTCGGAGTGCCTTCGTTCCCCTTCGCTGAATCCGTGATCGTGATCTCCCCCGAGCCGGGTTTCAACTGCTTCACGTAAGGGATCCCATCGGAAGAGACGCCTCCGACGTGGATCCGACCGTGGGGATCGATGGCCAGGGTCTTCACCACCCCGAGGTTTTTCATTCCTGTCCCCTCCTTCGAAGGATGTCCTTGAACGCTCTGGCAGTGAAGAGGTTGACCCACGAGGAGTCGGAGGCGACGTTGAGGGCTCAGCTGAAACACGGCCTGATCATCCACGAAGTACAGACTCTCGTCCACCGGATTCATCTCCAGCTTCGTCGGCCATTGCATCCCCATCTAAGGGCGATTCCATCATCAACTGTCTCGGACAGTAAAGGCCCAAGAAAGGAAAGGGAAAAAGGACAGACTTTTCCAGATCCTTGGCATTCCATCTGTTGATTGGTCTGAGAGAACCAAGTGGAGATTTTCCCCGAGGAATCTACCATCCTGATCGAACTCCCATCCACGAAGTACATCGTCCCATCCGCCGCGAACGTTATACCTACAGTTATCGTTTTAATGCATTAAAACATTTAGCGGATGACGAGATGCAAGATAAGCGAAAATAACGAGAGAAATACCTTTAGGATAAGTGAGCTTGGCGTTGAGGGAAGAGGATCCGTCGCCACAGCCAGATTTGTCGCCCGGGAGGCATCGTTGCCCGGATCCAACCACGGGAGTCTCCTCCCCTTGACCCCGATCACGACCTCGACCTAAGTCTATCGAAATCCGATAGATCCGAAATCTCTCCGGATCCGAGAGGTACAGGTGTCCATCCACGGGAGACACAGCCATGTAATACTCGTACGTCTTCCTACTCTCACTATGGATTACAAGACGTACGCATCAAAGAATCATTCACGGCACGTTTTCATAAATGAGAAACATAATGAGAGTGTGGTAATATATTATAAACTGACGAGAGAGCGAGGAGGATTGTAGGAGAGGCGTGTTCTTCCTCTTCAGGGGGAATCCGTTTGATGAGATTGAAGTCTCCGACATAGAGGGATCCATCAGGACCAGCAGCGAGAGAGGAAGGAGACAACAGTCCCTGCAAACAAATTCCACTCTGGACCCGACAATCCAGGGGCCGCTGAACGCCTGTCCCCAGCACTGGCTTCATAATCTTCCGCAGATCCCTCATAAGCATCGTTCGACCGTCTCCCTTTTGCAGGTAACCTTTGTGAGACAATCAGAATATAAAATGAAATCAATATCCCGCTATTCCCCAAAAGAGGCTTAAGTGAAAGAAAAGTTTATTTTACATAAATGCTTATTTTTTTTTTACCTCAGATTGTTTGTGAAGATCCAAATTGGGAAGAAGGAGAGAGGATTGAGAGAAGAGAGAACCTTTCCGAATGTCATGAGAACAAAATATGTCTCTTACCGTCCTGGAAGTTGTAACCGTGATGAATGTGAAGATTCCATCCTCCCACATCGGAAATCTCCATCTGAAATCCTTGGAGTTCCGCTGCCTGCACGACCCAGACGATCCCGTCGCAATCGGAATATTGGTAGCCAACGGCCACTTTCGCCGTTGCCCATCCGTATACTTTTTGCTGATAAATGTTTCTCTTGTCCCATACGTAAGTGTACGTGATGTTCGGCTCGGGCTCGAACGTCCTCTCGGTCACTTTCCCCCTGAGGGTGAGCTTCAGATGAACAGCAGTGAGCTTTTCTGGGACGGGGTCAAAAGTCAGCTGCATCCAGAGCGTGGACAGGTATCCATCGGCCAGGTGACTCTGATAGAGTAGATGGAGGTGAGTGCCAGGGATGCGGATGGATTCCTGCAAGACCCGGGACTCCTGCCAGACCACGGACCGCTCCGCTTCCCCTCCGACTAGCCGGCTGGCCCCCCACCCGCTCCGAATCACTGGATTCAGGTCGTGCTCCCCGCACGAGATTTGACTTTGATTGGATGTCCCTTTCTTCCCCGGTGGCTCCTCCGAGTCCAAATGCATCGTGAGTGGAGGGACGACGATGATCTGATTCCAAGGCACCGACACCGTCAGGGAAGCCGGGCGGAAGAAGGACCTTTGGAATTGGAACCTGATGCTTCCTCCCCCGTTCAGGAGCATGTCGTACCTAAGGATGGACCCCATTCCCAAGCCTCATCTTAGGCTATTTTCCTTCCAAGCACATTTTTTTATTATTATAAACCGTGAACAAAAGTCAAGGGACATGGGAAATATAACGTAATTTTGGTCAATTTTTAATGTTTGAAATTCACTCGTAACGATTACATTCACTCCGTATCCGTAACATCTTATTCACGAATGATATTGACTGACGACTGTAAAGGTTGATGGACTCACCATCCTCCCTGTCGACTGAGAGTGAATCCAAATCGAGTATCTCCATCAACAGAGACCCTGACTCCGATGATGCCCAACCCTTGACTATTGAGAACCCTGCCTCGAACCACGGATACCCGTCTGTGCAATATAGAGGGGATTTTTTTTATGAATCCCATTTGGAAATGTTGGCCTCAGTTGTGCACAGGAAGGAACGAGATGGCTCTCAAGTGCACTTTCGCCCCCCATTCAAGGGAAATGCATTAACGTTCCTCCATGTGTACGGAAAGGAAAGGATAGAGTATGAGGAAGAGAGAAGAGAGAGGAATGAAGCGATATAAAGAGAGAGACAGAAGAAGAGAAACCCCATCTTATCATGCATGAACATGCCATCTTGACATGCCATCGCACCAAGAATCGGTGAATTCCAAGTGCGAGAGGCATGTCAATGGATGGGCGCCACGAGTGTGTATGGGATTCAGTGTAACACAGAGAATGAAAGAGAGAGAGAAGGGAGAAGTCCATTGTGCGAGAGGACAGAGGAGAGAAGAGAATAGTCGGAGACAGATGGAGAGATAGAGTATCGGAAGAAGGTGATCAGCCGGCCATTTCTTTCGGACTTACCGCCGGATAAAGGAATTCCAGAAGTCTCTATACGGAGATAGCAGCAAAAAAAGACGGGAGCACCAGAAGATGAGTCATATGAGAGACAGAAGGGAGAGAGAATAGGGGAGAGTCAGAGGTCTGGTCCAGGGGGGAAAGAAGTCCAGTCCAGTCAAGTCATACCCAGTCCAGTCCACAATAACAGCCAGACACAGCAGGCATTGACCCACACATTCATCGAGTCCCCTTCACGAAGGCATTACTTATAATTGAGTGGGCCTCCATAGAAAAACATGCGTCTTTAGTCAGAGAAGCCCTTTTTCCGGGGGCAAGGTGCACAGACAACAATATCAATCTACCATATGGTGCAAACAACGACAATGGCAGCCTACATTGATCGAAAAAATATTTTCCTTCTGTTCATATGATGAATTTCCTTTATCTTCGAATGGAATCTCTTCAAATTTCTCATGCAAGAATCTCGATAGCCTTCAATATACTCGGTAAGTTTCCTTTGGGGTTTTTACACAGTTGAGAACTAAGATGGTCTGAGTCTGCATTTCCATACAGTAAAGGAAGAGTATTTGGACTCACCGTTCAGAATATTCGTCTTTCTTGGCATAATTCTGGACGCTCTTATCCTCGATGAGAAATTTCATTCTCATGAAGAAGGAGTTAGTGGGGGTAGGGGGTTGTTTCCTGAGGAGCACTTCCACAGGGTCTTTCGGGGCCATGCACATGATATGACCCTCACACACCTTCTGCTCACAGCATTCGCTGTCTGCGCAGTCCTCCAACCCATCTACAGTTCGTTTTCATTCAAGGATCGTGGAATTTTTCTAAAATGCGCGATGAGAGGAGGAAGTGGACACTAGGAGACAGGAGGGCATGAACAAACCTCGGTCGTTGTCGATCCCGTCGTCGCATGCCGTTTCCAGTTGGATGCGACAGTCAGGCCCGGCCCAGCCGGCATGGCATTCACATCTGTATATTCCCGTTCCCGTCTCCATCGTGCATGTTCCGTGCCCTTCGCATCCTCCTTTGCATCCTTCTGCATGAGAGAGAGGGAAAATACCTCTCACAAAGGAATCTCCCTTCAAAGATCTCCACCATCGTCTTCGCACGACTGCTCCTCAAAGACTTTCACATCTCAATTTGCCTTAATTGCTTCATTTCTCTCACCCTCCTCTTCTCATTATCACTCGCCAGAAATTGAAATTCCAAGAGCATTCAGCCTGACCATGCACCCTCCTTTCCTCATAATCCCAGGCCTTGATTCATCATAACGTATTCTGATAGTCCTGAGTTCTTTCCACCGGGCGAGAAGGGGAAAAAAAAGGCGCAAGAATGAGTGGACGCGTGCCCCGTCTTGATAAATTGTGAGGCCATTACGGTTATAGTGGCCTTATTAGGGGCCTTTCCTCCCAGAAGCAGAAAGAGGGGAGGAGAAAAAGAAAAAAGGAGGAAAGAATGAAGCTGGGAATGCGGGTCCTTTCAGGGATTCATGTAGCGTGAGAGGAGGAAGACATTGTGGGAAATGAGGCTTTTCAGTCGACCTCGGAATCCAGTTAACCACGATGAATGGGTGACACCAAGAAAAGTTTCTCTCATTCCCCCCCAGAATGAGAAGCGAAGCGAGAGAGAGAGAGAAGTATTGATACAGCTCTCACTCGGTTCCTCCCTCTTTCTACCCGTATCTTCGGCCTTATGAATAGTTGATGAACGGAAAACCTGAAGAGGGGGCCCCGCATACATTATTGACGGGAAGGCATGGGGTTTACGACTCTCTTGTGGGATATCATCCTATTCCGTCTAGATAAGCCCATGGAAGGAGGAAAAATAAGGAACTCACCGTTGGTGCAATGTTTCCCGTTCCATCCTACCATGCAAACGCAGGTGCCATTTTTGCATTCCCCGTGTAGGAGGCATTTGGCGTCACAAGTGATTTCTCTGCAATCTGGGCCTCCCCAGCCAGATTCACACTTGCATTCTCCGTTCTCGCATCTTCCGTGATCTCCACAATCCCTCTCGCAACTAACTGCAACATATCCCAGAAAATACGACCGATGAAGGAAGAACAGAAAGATTGAGATCTCGTCGTTTCCAGCTGAGAGAAAAAAAGAAGAAATCCTGGATGAAGAAGAATTGGATTGAGAGACAGAGAGAGGAACAAAGAGAAGAAAAAAAGTCCTCTTCATCGTTTGCTCTTTAGGGGGGGGGGGGGGGGGGAAGAGGAAGAATGATCTGA